CTAAGTGGACAACTGGACTGGCCTGACCGCTGCTTCTTCCATTTACTCGGTGGTAAGTTACACATTGCGATTACCTAAAGCATAAACTGGAAGCAGCCAGAATTTTTAAAACTGTTAGAAGGAACCTGATTAGAAAGCAAAGGTGCTTCATTTGCAATCATACCTGTCTCAAATAAGGTGAATAGGCAAGAGAGACATAGCACTTTATAAACATTTTTCTTGGTTGCTTAAACTTGGTTTGGCAGTTATTCTCGTAATCATAATGTGATGATGACAGCTGGTTTTTATGGTTTTAATGAAAAATTTGGGATACGTCCTTCCAAAGCTGGGAAAATGATAGTTGTGCTTTCTCTCCCTCTTTAAAGAGACCGTACTTCTCTTATCCAGACCACCACCACACGAGGAGGCTGATGCTATGCACCTGAGGCCTTTCTGTACTCTAGTACAGAAGGCTAGTTCCTTGCTAAACATCCTTACATGGATTTGAAAATAACCTCATTATTTCTATGGCTAAGAGCTTTCTGAAAACATTATGAGGCAACTTCAGCCCAAATCAACTGTTCAGCTTAATTTCTCTTGGTTTCCCTTCACAGGTATAAATGGGCTTCTAATAACATTGTCGAATGTGTTATGAAGGGAAGTCCTTAATTCTGTACAAACGACTTAATCAGCAACCTGTCATAACTTCATGCAAGTTGCACGCAGTCTTCCCTGGTGTTTGTATATCTCCTTCTGAAGGAAAACACGGATGTGTTTTAAGATAGGATTTTCCTGAGGCAAATGATGGCTCCTTCTTTTCTCTGCTATCTTCTTGTCTGCTGTCAATGGGACTTCAAATGTTCCAGGCTTCCCCCCTGAGAAAGAGTAAAAAGAAAAAAAAGGGAAAAAAAAAAAAGGGAGCTGGGCTCCTGCTGTACATCTCCAGAGGCTGTGGGAACAAAGAGCCAGAAGCGCTGGGAGGGAGGATGGAAAACCAGCGGGAACAGGCAGGAGATGGGCAAGGCGGTGGGGGAAGGGGTAGTGGGGGGAATGGGAGCAGAAAGGAGCCCGATCTGGTAAGCTGAGGAGAAGCCCAGTAGGAGAAACTGCTTTGTTCAGAGGGGAGAACAAAGGGGAAGGGGAAGGCGAGAAGATGAAGCAGCATAGCTGTCGGGTTAGAAGAAATTCGGTATTCCTGTCCACTCTCTGCACCCACGAAGGGGCAAAGCTAAACACACAGAGAAATGTGCTGCTTTTGCTCTGGTTGTGACAATTAACATTATCTCTCTTCCCGCCCCGCCCCCCCACCCCCCCCCAATCTTCTTTTGGCCCTTAATTCATTTTGGACAAAAACAATTAGATGTGGAAATGTAAAGCTGAAAATCTAATATGGCAAGGCTACAGATATTGACTTCGTTGATCTTGACACATTGATCTAAACGGATATATTTTTAGCAGCTCAGAAGTGCTGGTTTCTCTCAGACAGGGTTGACTGCTGCAAAGAAAACTAACCTGACCCACGGGAATGTTGAGTTTCCTCTAAATCTAAAACTTAAATTTGCGATGTATCCTCCTCCACTTCTCCTGGGGTACAAGAGATTTAGCAGGAAGAAATTGGCGTTAATGTCAAAGCTTTTGTGCTGTTTGTATATGTAACTGCTTTGTTTTAAGTTAAAAACTCCTTGGTGGAAACTATTTATTTGTGGAAAACAGAAACGCCAAATCTTCCTGGGAATTTAATATATATCTTCAGTCATCAAGCAAGACCATCTAACATATCAAAACCAAAGCAATGCTTACCTTTTCTAAGTAATATCACTCCTTTACTGCAGGACTGAATGTTTTCCTCCTAGCAGTAGTACAGCAGAGTAGTCAGCATTTCAATGTAATCTGCACTACAATGCCCTATGTTAATGCAGACAGATACTTCAAAAACAGAACAACATGTTAATGGTCCCTCCCATATAACTCTTGGGCCTAACAATTAGTAGCCACTTTTATTAGCAGTTAAGTGCAGAAATATACCATTTAAAAATCTTACAACCTTTGTTCTGGATTTTAGGTGACTTCAACAAAATTCGTCTTTACTAATCCCTTTTGTAAGCTTGCATGTCTGTCGTAAATAGTATTTTTACCCCGTAGCTTGTTGCCTGGAGTAAAACCAGGACACCTTGTTTTGCTAAAAGTGTTGGTTTCTTTTTAAAATTTATTTTACAATATGAGTAAAGGCTGGCAAACTTTATTACTGGTCATGGTTTAATTTTTTTTTTTCCCCACTTCTTTATCTGCTATACCTGGAACTCTGAAATTTGTTGTTGGATTGGCGTGAATGAGGTTAAACTCTGAATTTTCACTTATGAAATTGGATTACATCAAGCATCAATTTATTGATCAGCCCTGAAAAATGGCTCAAAAGAGAGCACTATCAACTTTGTGAATGTGAATTGTGTATGGGAACAGCCAGGCTCTGGCCAGTCCCGTTTTTGTCCTTTTGTAAAGTGTCATCGCTGGCTTCATTTTCCACACATTTCCCATTTCAGTTGCTTCTGTTTTAAGACACGTTGGTTGTGTCCTGTGCAAGGTATGCAAAGCCAGCAGCCGTTTCTGGAAGTAAGAAGTGAATTTATTACCAGGATTCCTTTTCCTGCAGTGACGTTTACACTGCTCTTACACATGCATCCCTAGCCCTGCTAGTACCTACAGTGTTCAAGCCTTAAACCCCGTCTCTTCTGCATGGCTGCAGCGTGATAAATATCCTCCAAAGGCTTGCTTACTTAGCAGTGGCCACTAATACACGGCCTTGTCATACCTGCTGCAGGGCTTTTCTTCCAACGACTGGGGGGGAGTTGCTGGAGCTTTGGCTTCATCCATGTTTAAACGAACTGAGTTGGCCAGCCAGTTCTCAGCGGTCAGGAGGGCAGCTTACGTACCTGGCTAAATTTGCCTTGCAATTTCCAGCCTGTGACAGGAAAACTGATTTGCCCATCCATGTCATGTTCTAAAGAGCGAGGGAACCAATTTTTACATATATAAAAATTTGGGGGGGTGGGTTATTTACACACAATGTTCTGGGGTTTACATATGTCCTTCTCCATCATAAATGATTAAGTTTTTAATTTTGTTTAAACTCCTAGCTCTCAGTGAATATTTCTAGTTTAAAATAGTTGGTGATCCATCTGGGAGAGGTTTTTTTCTTCTCCACTGACCTTTTTTGATTCTTTTAAGTGTTCTCATCTCTCCCATCGCAAGACTTGTGTTCTCCCATACAGCTGAGAGTCTTGTCTCTGCTCCGGGAATCTGTGGTCAGTTTACTTCTATAAGCGGTTACTGAGAGAGTGTAAGACAGCCCACTCATATGTGAGGTACAAAGTCTTTCATCAAATGAAACTGAAAACCGTTTTTGTCTATAAACCAAGAATATAAACAAGACTTTTGAATACGCTTATTATACTGTTTCCTGGGAAGCTTAATTTATTATTTCATATTCAGTTTTGTTGCTTGTACGTACTGGTACATGGAAGGTCTTACACTGGAAAACATTTTCTTCCAACTTAGATGTAGCACAAAATTAAAAAAAAAAGAATTAAAAATTGCTGCTGTTGTGATTTTCAGTACTCTAAGTGTATTAGCTCAAATGGAGAAATTCATGTTTCATGGGGGTTGGACTAGATGACCTCTAGGGGTCCCTTCCAACCCAAAACATTCTATGATTCTATACCAATATAAGCTTTCTGTTGCAGTAATACCAACCATTCTGAAAATTACTTTGCAGATTTGTTACAGCAGGGAAAGATAAAAGAGCAGCAAAAATTCTGTAGCTTTCTGAGAAATTCTAAAAAGACAATATCTAGCTTCTACATTTTAGTCATTCTTTTCCAGTTTAGGAGCTTTCTTCTTTATCTGCATAATTGGTCCAATGAGTAAGCCTTGATTTAGCTTCTTAAAGTCAAAACCCCCAAATAAATTCACCATTGTATTAAAGAATTAAGCCGTGTACCTGAATAGTATCAGTCCTAAACAAGAGACTTATCATCATTGTAGTTATATTAGCTTCTTAAAAAATACATCAGTATTTTGCTGCTTACTTAAACTGGGAGAAAAATGCAGTATTTGCAAAAGTACGCATTTTCACAGAACATATATAATTTGAACTGGAAAAATCTATTTAAAAAAATAATCTGGTTTTAAGTCAAATCTGTTTGACTACTGTTTGTTAAACCAGTCTAAATGTTTGGATCCAAGTACAATGCCTGCCTGCCTTTGAGCCAGATTCCACACAAGGATGGTGGCTTATTTCCACATGGGCTCCCTTGATTGGACTACATATCCTACATTTACGTCCGACGCGAGGAGGTCTCCCCTCTGGTACTGCTCGGGAGGTTTCATGAGTGAGTGCAGCAGAGGAGGCTGGTTTGGTGCGGGAGCCTGGCAGGGGCAGTCTCTGCTTCTCTCTTCACATGAGTAACAGCCCCCAAGAGTCAGAAGGACATAGGAAGAACACAGGTTAACACTGAGTTGACGCAGAGCACTTGGTGTCGTTGCAACAAGCCAAAATAACACACTCTGTGCCAAGAACATTGGTGTTTTAGTTGAGAGAGTTGTTTGGGTTTTCAAGTCAAAACACAGCTTTCCTATTGCCAGAATGAGTCTTGAGATTTCTTCTTTGGGGGGAGATGACACACCAAAATATTTTACTTTTTCTGTTCAGGAAGAAGAAAATGTTTCAAAATTCATGCATTCTCATTTTTTGTCAGATCTAATTCTAACCAGATCCCTAAAACCTGTACTTTTAAAGTTCCTAATGCTATCTTTTAGGGAAAAGGCATTAATGCCAATATGTGTATGCCTATACATGGACAGGAGAGTTGGCACCTCTCTGTGTTGCTGAGTTCAGACCTGAGTGCAAAGTCAAACCCAAATCTCTCCTCAGTTGATTAGAAATTGGACAAAGCCTCCAAACTTGGTACAACAGACTTATGGGACTGAACATGATGATACAGAATAAATGAGGACCAACATACCAGCACTGGATGCTTCAGAGCCACCTCTTGAAGAGTCGGAGGTACGGGGTTTGTTTCTTGTGGGGCTAAAGCACTGGCACTGGACTTCCGATGCTCTGGACTGCAAGATACATCAAAAACTCCTCTGAAACGGCTTACTATAGATAATTCATTTAATAGCCCTAATTTAAATGTCTACAGCATAGTGTTATGTTTGTAAAATAATTATGTTAGATATAAATTTTCTATTATAATAAATTAATTTCTGTCTCTTCATTTATTTAGAACATCTCTTCTTTCGTAGTACAATATCGAACCTTCTCCGCCTCAACTGAAAATAAATTATTAGCAAAAAAGTCACTCCAGAACACATAAGCAAATTTACCTAAAAATGAGCTGTGAAAATTGTATTGGCATGCATTTTTGCATTCAAGGAAACTCAAAATCAGTTTCTTTTAAGGGTACCAAAGTTGGCACAAATGGCACAAATCTGTGGAAGGTAAATATGTGCCTTGCTCTGTTTGAAGAAATCTGGCTTCAAAATAACAAAGTTATAGACTTTTGAAAACATGCATCCTGATTTGCACAGCAGGTTTTTCTTAACATCAGAAGCAAACACCAGGATGTGATGTTCTGAATATTCCCTTTCAGTATATTTGAAAGCTCACACCTACTTGTATTTGAATGTGTGATTACTTTAAGAACTGCATTGTTCTGAATCACAGTTACAAAAGGAAAAAGGCGTTGGAGACCGTATTGTTTATTATACATCAGGTTTCTGCTTTCAGTCAGAGAACGAGAGAATATAGGCATTTTACTCACAGGAACTACTGTTATTCCTGTTGAAACAAACTCTAGATAGGGCTTCCTGCAAGAACGGCTGTGATCTAGGAAATATGCTGCTTCAGATCACTATGCGGAGAAAATACACTCACGTTTCTGTGACTCCGTTATCTTTGTTTCTCAATTCATCACAAACTTTGCATGCTTTGGGAGATCTCTTGCGGTGCGGTCCCTGCCGCTTCTTTCTGGCCCCAACTGGAAATGTGTTTTCCTCCATCTCTTTCTCAGTGGCACCTGGTGATTTACGTTCTCTTGGAAATAAATAATTCACCTTGGGAAGGGAGAAACACAAAATTGTTTTGAGCAATGAAAAGCAACCCTGCACCCTTACAGCGGAATACTGCACGCCGCTAAAAGGCATCGAATATGGTAACAAGCAACAGCATGCTCAGAACTGAGTGCATCTGTACCTCAAGCTTTGGATAACATCTGTTAGTTACTAGAGCTATTCACAACCTTCGAGCCTCGAGAATAGTTTTAGACCACATTTTGGAATGAGTAAGAAAGTATATTTCTGTCAGTTAGTGTGGTGGGTGAGGTTCATGGCTAACTCAGATCTGAGTTAGCCAGCCCTGAGTCCTCGTGAGTGGCAGAGGGGGGGAGAGGCGAGCTAGGCGGAAGGTTAGGCGTTTAAAGTAGGTGCTTAAAAGTAGGTAAGATAAATGCTGTCAAAATTCACCACTGTTTTATGTGGGTTTGCTCTAGCAGAGTAACACTTATAATTAATACCTCTACACACCCTGCTTGTGAAGTACACGGTGTAAAGAAGTAATTGGAGGAATCAGGCAAGAGGAGCCTGTGAAAAAAGAGTGTTTAAATGCTTTGTTTCCCAAGAGCCATACACCCTTGAATTCAGTAAGAATGTCCCACCATCTGAGACTGCTATAACCTATGCATGGGTTTTGCTGGTTTTGGTACTTTTCAGTAAACTATTAGCCAAATGAAGGAAATATTTATTACTTAATTTTATTTTGTTTGAAATAATGGTTCTTAGTTTAGTCGAATGTCTGTTGTTCATATATCAAAATATCAGAAATCAATTTCAAACAAAATGTGTCTTCATTCTCAGAGTTTCCCTTTGGTTTTCATGTATCTCAGTAGCAGTAAATATAGTAAATATCCTGCCTTCCCTTTTACAGTGTACTATAAAAATATGAGCTTACTCCCGGTCTTACTACAGTTCTGGACTCATACATGCAAACTGGTGTTCTGTTAGGAACCTAAGCCTTACTTTTAGTTAATTATTTTTCAAAAGCACATAGCACCCACAGCTCATTTTCTGCTACCTAGCATCCTGATATCATATGCTTGAAAGGCTTATCTGTAGATATATCAGTAGATAGTAAAACCCAGTTTTAAAGCCTAGAAAAACTAAAAAAAAATAGTCTGATTTTTTTTTCTGGTTAATACTTGAGAATACAACATTTCTAACCTGTAGGGTAACAAAACCGTGACATTTACATCCAAGAACTATTTAAAATGTATTACTTTATGCTTGCAGGCAATTTTTTTTAATTAAAATTCATGCAGAACAGGGAAAGGTAGGAAATAGAAGACGCAGATTCTTGCCCCTCCAGTCTTCTGAGTAGATTTACCACTGACTCTACCAGAAGTGCAATTTTTTAAAAAAAAAAAAAAAAATCTTTAAAATAAATATTTGGGTTAGTTTTAGCTCTCACAAGAACAAGAAGTTACAAGTGCCAGGGGGCATTCAGCCTACAGTCCTTGTCATCCCACGAACTACAAAACTCGGTATTACCAGATTTCTGCTACCTCAGTCCTGAACTCAACCCTACACCAGTCACACCAAACTGCACAGTGGCTTAAACACAAAGGGTTCCATGTGCAATGTGCCTGCCTCGGGTACCTACCACCCGTCTGTCTGCTCCAAGCTTTCACTACGGAGCGACTAGTTTTAGTTGAACACCCCCCCCATAGCAGTACTCTAGAAAGGTGCTTTAGTCCTTGCTTCACCTTGCAAGCTCTTCATTAAAGACCAAAGCAGAGAAGAAAGCTGTGATCGTTTGATTACTAACCAGATCGCGGACACTGTATGCATTTTCAACAGCTGCAAATTGGTTGTTTTGCTCCAGCCTCCTGCTCCAAGTAGCACCAAACAGAGAAACGCATTTGGAGGAAAGCAATAGAGTTCATCAGTCTTTGAATGTATAGCAGATATTATCATTACTGCTAAAGCACCGTCCCTTATGGAATACAGCATGCCTACATGTGGAGCTACCCTGAAAAACCGCAGCTCTGCGTGTCTCATCTGGAATGGTTCTCCCTCAACGTTACAAATGGTCTGCTGCATTTCTGGAGGAACGAGAGTCTTTTGGCATAAAAGCAAGCACTTCAACACAGCTTAAGTATGGCAACAGGTTTTCTTGCACTAGGAAAAATACATGGATCAGGTGTAAAATTTAAATAACTTCGCTTCCTATCTAAGATGGAGCGTCACTGTGGCTTTGTCCTTGAGAAAAACATTAACAAGCGTGAGGGACTATCAAAGCACTAAGGCTGCTGACCATCGTAAGGAGCCAATATTACAGTCAGGAAAGCCATTTATATTCCTAAATATTTCTGAGAAGCTTGACCAAGAGGTTTGCAAGGAGGTCCATCAGCTTCCTAAATAAAATTGGGGTTCCACGAGGAGAGGACTTTTTTTTTTTTTTTTTTAACAACAACAAATGCAGGTTGCCACTCTGATCCTCCAGTTCACAGATGCATTACATTTCTATTTTATTGCTCTGGTAGTTGAAAAAGGACTTTGAAATGGGAATACAGTGATCTGGTCTTAATGCAACTGGGATTTTCTTTAAGTGTTGATCTGGTCCTCTGTCTCTAAGGCCTTTTGGTCCAATAGAAATGGATTCATTCATGCAACACAGAGCATGAAACACAGCAAATTTATAACCTTGCTTTGCCAAAATTTGGTGTTTTATGCAGGGAAATAAATCTGAAGTTTAATCAGCTTTTCAGGTACATACTGGCTGGTCTCTTTCTTTTTTTGAGCAGATGGTTAACATGGGAGCAGTAGAGCCATCTTATTTTAATGATTTTTAATGTTTGTGACATTTTTTTGCTCCTTCTTTTCAGTACTCGTTACTTAACAATTGTGAATAAAACCCTGCCATCATTTTTGCAAATGAGGAAACAAAAAGAAATGCTTGTAAAACAAATGTTAGTATAATAACATCTTCTAAAATTCAGCAGAAATCCATTAAACAGTAGAGCTATTTGCTATCTTAGATAAAACTCAGAAGATCTGAAATCATGTTCAAATAAGTTAAAATTAAATATCTTCATATATAATGATAGTAACTGACCTCCTGGATGATGTCATATTAAGAAAGGCGAGATGATACATATGATGCAAGTAAAAAAGGTGCCTTTCATGTTGGAAATATTTCTCACTCCTTTTAGAGGTTTTGTGCTGTAGGTAAAAAAAGATTAGAAACTGTGATTATTATAAACAGTCGTTATTATAAACATTATTATAAACTGTGAGCTTACTTAAAGGGATGTTCATATTTGGATCAACTAGGAGATAAACATTGTCCTTATAATCCTGTACAACACTTGATATTTAATGACCTCCTGGAATTCCCATTCACTTAATTCATTTGATAAAGCCTTGAATTAGACTCTGAAATACCATAACAAAAAAAACCATCCAAAGTAAAAAAAAACAAAACAAACCTATGGTTAAATTATAGTTTTCTGGCATACTGGGATAGCTCTAGAGAGATTTACTATTCCTTATAAAATGTAATTTTTATATGATGCATATGAAAATATACAGTGTTTAACTTCCCCTGTTCTGATGACTGGTCCAGCAAGCAAACATGACTTCTCACCAACACCCTCTGCCTTTCACTATTTCAGTGTGTGAATGTGTCACTCTTATACATGTAATGTTCAGCTTGTACTTTGCAATGAATAGATAAACTGTCATTAATGACTTTGAGTAGCAATTTCTAATTGCATAAATCTTTAAGTTTTATATGTCTATGCTGTCAAATTCATTGAGTTCTTGATTTTGATTTTCTGTATGAATTCAGCAGCTTTCTTGCCTCCTGAAGGAAGGAAATCTGGTAAAAAAATCAACAAGGTATTTTATTTCTAATGAGAGTTATTTGATCTCTCAAATTCTTGAGTTGAGGACCAGCTGCAAGCTGAAGCTCTGGAGCTGGGCTTCAGAAGACTTCAAGAATCCGTCTTAATGCAGGATCCACTTTTAATATATAAATCTCTGGCGTGGGTGACTCATCATACAACACCTTCAGCATTCTGTCTTCCACTAGAGTGAGGCTAACGCAACTGGTAGGACCGTACAGACACGAGAGCAGGGCCATATGCTTGGTGGGCTGCTCAGCTATGCGCTAAAAGCAACTGATTATAGCACTGTGTGGGTTGGCTTTTCTGTCCTGTATGTAACACCAGGCAAGAAGTTATACTGAAAAAAATTCTTGGAATAGCAAATGGAATCAGACACAATTGTGGAGCCTGATCTCATCGTTGGAAATAATCTGTGGAACCAATAGGCTGGTATATCGAAAATAACGTTTAAGAAGAACAGACGTGACATCCTACGGCCCTGACCCTCTGGCCTGTGCCTCTGCACAGTCTTTGGCGCTTCAGTGACCTGTCTATGCAGAACTCCTTGCAGAACCTGGTAAAAATAAATCCTTGCTATGAAGAACAACAGAGAGGGAAAGTGCAGCTTAACTTTCATCCGGTACTTCTGTCCTCAGGACTTCTAAAGTTGTATTTGCTAAGTCGCATGCCATAACCACTTGTAGCACCTACAGAGTTCAAAACATGCGACACTAGTTCTGTGAGTAATCACGCAGGCTTGGGTAAGACTGCTCATGTGCACTGTGTCTTTGGATGACTGGAATTTAAAGAGCAAATGCTTCCCTATCTGCTTACTGGAATATTTGTCCACCTTTGAATCCAAATTAATTTTTTTTTTTCCTTTGAAGGGTCACCAAAATCCTCCCACACTTCGCTAAATTATTTTGCTTTGTGCAGTAACAGAGCCTGCCCACTGTTACTAGAAGCTCCTCTGCTTTTTCATACTTTTGTCCTTCAAGCATCTGAAAAAACACCCAGGTGGAGAGGACCAGAGCAGCTGGGAAATACGGAGTTAACATAACCCAGGCTTGTTGCCATGAATAGGAAATAGCTTACCCCTGCAGTCAATTTGCCTAATTGATTAGAAGCCTGATCGAATCCCTGAAGGGCTAGATACCCTGAGGGGATATGCATGCACAGGGGCAGGGAGCTTATGGCCAGCCGAAAGGGAATCTCCTGAGCCTCTGCAGCCTGGGCTGCGAAATCATTATCCGCTGTGTGCTT